TACTTCCGACTGCAGTTCAGTTACTCACTATCTACCCACACATTACAATAATCTCCCGCGTCACGTTTTCCCCTCTTATATATATCCGCCTACCCCATCTAGCAAACACTAGAGCATTCGCCTAAGTACATGATAATTCTAGAAACGTTGCGTCACAGTAGTCATGTGACTCGATGACGCAACATCTCTAATATTCCTCGGAATGTTTTGTCATGCTTATGGCGAAATGGATCTGGCGTCTCCTGGCGGTTAGCATGCCGTACTGTGAATCAGAAAGTCCGTAGTTTATGTCCTGTTGCGGGAAAAAAACCCATCGCGCTTTGTACCTTGGGAACGTTATAAGAATGACAGCCAATAGTTGATTAGAGTAGTCCAACAGTTGGCGGTTGATGCCGTTGACTAGTTACCTTCCTTCTGGTTTATAAGTTTCAGATTAGGAACGGCTAGCACAGTTAGCCCTTGTGTAGCTTTCAACGAATATCGAAAACCAATATGATGAAAAAATCTAGATTGATAATACTACCGTTTACGTTAATTGAAAAAAGTGTGTGAACATTATTAAAAAGTCTTTGGGAGATGCATATCTTAAAGGTTCTGCTTATTTCGAAGTAAAATAAACATTATCATTAAGATTTAAGTATATTTTTATTGATTTTTTACCTGATAAATTAAAAACTAGATGATAATAATATTAGTGTTTTAGAGACAAATGTACAAGTAGAATCAGTATAACCTTGAAACTACTATATTTTTATTTTTATTGGCGATTTTATTAACGTTTGAAAAAAAGGCATGTTTAAAATATTATTATATAGATATCTTTTAAATTTTAGAGAGATTTCTTTGTTGAAGAAAAGAGTCTGAATCCAATAGCTTATAAAATTAGACAACCTTTGCAAGTTAAAATCGTTCAAATGGCACCATTTTTGAAAGTAACAACCGATATATAACTTACACAACTTTATCATGCAGTGTAAGCATTATACGTTGACGTTTCGCAGATATTTTCTCAGTTTTAGTTCAATATATCAATTTATTTATTCATCATTACACTGTTCTGAGCGAGAATAACACTTTAAAATTACTACCATTCATAATGACATACTTACTATCTTTTAAGCCCAAGGGAACAACCTATGCATCCACGGACGTTCTTTCTAACTGCTTCTCAGGAGCGAAAGGTGGTTAACGAAGTTTTATGTGAAGGTAAAAATCAAAAACATTTTTACGTTTTAATTAATCATGAGGTTCATTTTTTGTTCTTGTTGTTGTTTAATTGTTAATATAAATAAAACTAGAATTTTTTTTTTTCATTTCTATTTTATGCTTCGGTCAATGAAACACAAATTATTATTTGTTAAGAGAGTGAATATAATAGTTTACTTTTGAAAATTTAGAATAATGACCGAAAAAAATAATGTTACGTCAAGTTCAATATAGATTTGTCGTTCTAAAATGTTTATAACAAGTGAAAAAAAATCCATTAACTTTCCTTGTGATTCTAAAATTCCTTTCTCTTTCCTGAAAATGTATCACACGAATATACTAACCTAACAGAAGACACTTGTGCAAAAACAAACAACAACTATAAGCTGATTGTTTTTTAAATAACTGTTACTCTTTTCAAATGAGTAATATTTTTGAAATTACAATACTTTACTACCATCTTTTTTTAAAAAAATCTGTATTGTACACTTAACGTAACAAGAACTCTATCTGTTCCCCGAATTTTAACGAGTAATTTGCCTATTTGAAATCGTTGTTTGTTGTTAAGCGCAGAGCTTTAAAAACAACTATCTGTGTTGTGCCCACAAGTATCGAAACCCGGAGCATTTTAAAATGAAATACACTGATAACACCGTATAAACTAACTAGTGAGAAGGTAACATTGTTTTATTTTAAACAATTATAGTTTTTGAAAAATACCATCATTTATAAATCACTTGAATATTATTTGTAGGTAAGGATTGTCCCGAATTTCGTGTGGTGAATGACTTCAGTAACTTCATTCAAGAAAGGCTGTACAGTGATGCAAATTTTTTGTCAACACCTTCTCAGAATTCATGTGACGTTATTGGAACTTTGAATGCAGCAAATGAATCACTTGAGAAATATCGAAAAGGTAACACGTTTGAAGACATTAATGAAAGATACTGGAAGAAAATGTATGTGCTATAAACATTAGATAAGGTATTGTAGGAACATATTACTGCACTATTTATTGTTGGTTAAGGTATTATAGGAATACATGACTGCACATTTATTGTTGGTTAAGGTATTGTAGGAACATATTACTGCACTATTTATTGTTGGTTAAGGTATTATAGGAACATATGACTGCACTATTTATTGTTGGTTAAGGTATTATAGGAACATATGACTGCACTATTTATTGTTGGTTAAGGTATTATAGCAACATATGACTGCACTATTTATTGTTGGTTAAGGTATTATAGGAATAC